TGAATTCACTAACGAGCTGTTTATGTTGACGCAAGGCCACGTGTGCTTTTTCTAGTTAGGTTTTTTTTATCAGCCCGGCGGAAGTAGCCTCTTCTCGAGCTCGCAATGGGCAAATGCCTCGTGCTTGTCTCGCATTTCATAATGCCAGGCTTGTGCTTTCAAATTATTTTCTTTCTCCTCGCTATTGATGCAGCCTCGCTGATGTCACCGTTTCAGGTCACCCAACCCACCCTTAGGAGGCACGGGTGCATGTCTCGGACCGCACACACACATTTCCGAGGCTTTTTAAATTTTTTGTTCTGGCGAAAAAGAAAAAGTGGCTTGGACAGCACGATGGAACCCCCGCACCCCGTGGTTTAGCTCAAAGTGCCGCCAAGTGCATTTCACGCTCTCTTGTAAAGTGCACACATTTGCAAAGTGTCCCTCTGCATAAGAAGTTGCACTTGGGAATGGCACTAAATTTGAAGTGCTTTCTCACGGCGTGGTTTATTGAAAGCTCTATTGGTTTTCTTGTGCAATATAGTTTCTTTTTTGTTGCTTTGTTCAAGTTCTTGTGTAATTATGCTGTTGAGTAAAACTAATAAACAGCACCTGTCAAAGGACCACGACCGTTATTTGTTGCTGCCACTTCAGAGAGGTGAAATGCACTTAATTTTCAAATGATGATGTTTTTTTCCACATCGCATCGTCGTTAACTTTGCACAGTGTTTGCGTTTTATACATTGCTTTTTAAATATTCCAATAATTTAAATGGTTTTATACATATTGCTAAAATGTTACCCCAATTCTGCGATCGGCATCATATCAGTGGGTTGTGGAACACGGTAGTTTGGCCGAAAAGTATAAAAGTTTCCTTTAGACTTCTTGATTGTTCTGAATGGCCTACCACTCAAAATAAGGCTGTTTAATGAGGGCTTTTCTGAAAGGCTAAAGAAGCGTGTGGAGGATGTGAAGGAGTTTAAGAAGCCTTATTGCTCATTTAGCACCTTTCACTCAAAGTCACGGTCAAGTTTAGATTGTTTAGATTCTTGCCTGCGTATAACTTTCCACGCGATAAGCCGCTTTGTTCAGCTGTCATTTGTGGCCATGTCGCTTCTGAAAAAAAGCAAATAGTTCAGTGGGCTTCACCTGCGAAGGTAAACAGTTTAGTTTTATTTGTATATATTTTTTTTGCTTTTTCCTTTTTCTATACTTTGCACTGCTATCGTGTTTTTTTTTGCTGTTTGTTGCTGTAACGTTCTGACCCGCTCCTCCTGGACATCGGTGAAAAAGGGCTTTATAGCTCATCTGATTCCTCCGGTGTAAATAAATATTCAGATTCCGAAGTCGCTGGCATAACCAGCAGTCCACAACTTGCCGAGTGTTTTTTTGCGAGCCTGGTCTCACGCTTGAGGGGCAAGACCCACGCTCGCTGGCCTTTCCAGACAGACTTCTGCAGTTGTTGCCTTTGGACGATAAGCAGCCGCAGCGGCAGCTGCGGTTGTCCTTCGACTCTAGACACCAACGTCCTTGCTTGGGGGGAGGTGGCGGTGGGTGGGGGAAGTGGGGGAGGGGAGCGTGCCTCATTCCTTCACAGTCCAGGTGGAGACCAACCGTCCACTAAAGGTGGGCGCTTGGGCATCGTGGGTCAGGGCTTACAGGCTCACGTTTCAACACGGCGCCTTAGAGCCAGGCTCGCGAAGTCAACAAGACTGCCTCGAGGACGCGACCCATCGCCTCGATCCAGCGGGGAAGTTTGCTTTGGACCGAGGACGCACGTGACCGGCGAAAATCTCCTGCGTTCTCGGGGAAGAAGCCTTTTTACTCGGGGTGGCTGCGTTTATCTCCCAAGCACTGTGGAGTATTCAGAGCAGTGCGAATCTTCGGCTCTTTCCTAAAAAAAGGACCTCTTGAACGTGGTGTTACCGCAGAGCCATTCGGCCAACGGTGCAACCTGGAAACTGGCTCACGTTGGCGGACCTTAAAGACGTATTATTCGGCTATTCTGGTTTATCCGCAGCATTGACGCTCCCCCGGATATATATCAGGAAGCGTCAGCGGGGGGGGGACTCTTTCCTGTTCTCGGCTCCGTGAGTGTTCACTAAGGTCCCTGCCATGCTTAGAGTGGCCAGCACATTTCCCTCCTTGATGACCATGAACTGAATTGGGCATCATCCAGGGCAAAGTGGTCAAGGCCACATGGCAAAGACTTTTCATTTTGAAGAAGGGCATTGCTGAGTGGTAAATTAACAGACTTTCTACCCCCCCCCGGAACAATTACATCCCATTTAGCGTTGTCAATCGCACGAATCTCAGTCTCGCGTTTCCCGTAGAGTAAACGTTGGCAATGCTCCGTGGCATCGCTCAGGCTCTTTCCTAACACGAGTGCTGTTTTTGCCGTTCCACCTCGGCGGTGGAAGTTTTGTCAGGTGCGCGCTCATCCTCCCTTGGCCCGGCCACTCGGTCGTCGGCCAGTTGACGTGGTTGCAGTTGACTGCCGTGAAGAGAACCGTCGTTCACTTCCATCCGAGCTTTTTCTTTGTAGAGGGGTGTTTGTTGAGCAGGATGCGTCCCGCGGCCGTCGACACTCGCCCGCCAGTTCCTCGTCCTGCTCCCGCGAAGGGAAAATGCGTCGTTTTGTGGATGTTGTCGTCATTGTCGTCGTCCTCGTCGTTGCTGAGCGATGGGAGCGGGAAGGTCACGTGACAGGGGTGCCCTATACTGGCCGGCCTGGCGTTTACCGCCGTGGGACGGGGCTAACCGCCTGGAATGTCAATGGCCTGTGTAGGCCCTGACACCGACTCTCGGGAAAAAAAAAACTAGCTTGAGAATATCGTTAATTGGAAGGTGATTAATTAGAGGGCTCCGACGTGGGTTTGGTGGGAGAATGAATGTTGTTGTTCATGTGGCTCGTGTCTTGTGACTCGCATGCCCGGGAGCAGAACTGTCACACTGTAAGCCGGAACGCAATTTTTTTTACAAATCTCGTGTCTCGTCATATTCCCAGTGTTAGCTTATTGTCCCGTTCAATCTGCATACCACCGCCACTTCCTCAGGCGGCAATTCACTTGTGCTGTTCTTGGTATCGGCCTGTGACTTGTGCTGTTAGATGCTATGCGTGGAACCGCATCGAGAGCTTGCGGTTTCGTTTGACGTATGTTGGCCATTCCATTCTCGATACAGGGTTGGCTCTCTTTGACGACACTGAGGCAGGGCCTCATGAAACTAAAAACCCACTGAGCATGAACTGGGGAAAACCATGATAAAAAAAAAGATGATGCAGTTAAAGTGTTGACAAAGCCATCTGGTTTTTTTTTTCGTTGTACAATGAACGTTTTTGCCAGTCGAGAAATACGAAAAGCGTGTGTTTCGCGTCTTGGAGGCTGGAAGCGCACCCGTGCTCTTGGGCACGTGTTACCCGGCTCCGGGCTGAGGTGACCTCTTGACTAGAATGGCCGCAGCTCGAGTGCCCCATCAGCGGGTCTCGCACGCGTCTCGTGACGAAACCCAGCGCACCGTCGTGGCACTGCTGCGGCCAGTAAAAAGTGAGCCATTTTGGTACGTCACTATTCCTCTACCTGTCATTCTTCCTAGACACCTTCCGACAAAATAACTATTGTGAAACCAATGAAAAAAATTCTAGCATTTTTTTTGTTTGAGACGGCCTATTATTTTTTTTATTACACTAAAGAGCCGAAACGCCACATTGACGATGAATAAAAATCCCACTTTAATTTCACGTGCGCTTTAGCTTTGCACTGTAACAACGCATAGCCAGGCGCAGCAATTAGATTTTCCACGCGTAAGCACCAGACGGAGGAGACGCTTCCCCCAACTTTGCAGCGGTGCAGACCGCGAAAGCGCCCACCCGCATTAGACGGAGTGTTTTATTGTGCGGCGGCAAAATGTTTTATTGATTCCGAATGCAACACTTGAGCAATCTTGCGGCCATCTGGTTCAGCAACTCAGAAAGAGCTTTGACTCGCCCTCATTGACCGAAGAGTTTCTTCAGAGCAACTGCGACGGTGTACATCCTGTCGGGTCGCGGCCGTCCGCGTTCGTTTTTTTTTTTGGGGGGGGGGGGGGGGCACATTCGACTTTGTGTGCCTCTCGTCTTCCCTTGGCTAACGTGCGAAGCCGAAAGAAGTTCCAACGTACACTTATTTCAGGCGCTTCCGCTGAGAAGCCCCTGCGGCCACACGTTTCGATTTCGGGACAAGTTTTGCGCAAGCCGGCTGCCGCGTCGTATCGAGGGCCCGCGCGCGACGCCCGCTGCTCCCGCGTCGAGCGGCGTCATGAGCCCGAGTGTCTCCGTATCGGCTCGTCACGCAAATTGCTCTTGACAATGAGGGCTGACACCGCTGTTAAAGGTGTCTCTCGTGGTGGTGTCTGATGGCGGCTGGCACTGGAAGAAAGGTTGCGTAACAGGAGCGACCAGCGGCTCACGGTTCAAAAATGCTAATGGTGTTCGCCCCGCGTGTCATTAGGAACTTCTCAAATATTAATGTGCGCATAAGTATGCACGAAAGAAATCTTTTTCTGAAAGATAATTTTTCCGTAAAACTTGCTTTTTACCTTTTTACTGTCAACCCTCCCTGACCTCCAATCGCCTCCCCCCCCCCACATCCCACGTTTCCGCAAACACTCCTTCCTCATGGTTAGTAAGGAAGTGCTGGAGACTCATTAAAGTGATACGAGCAGAGGTTGGTGGCTGATGTGACGCTCTCTTAGCGCGCTGCGCTGCCAACATGGCAATTCCCGCTCACGGCCATCAACACCAGGGATGATTATCTGAACCGGTCCTGGCCCTCCCTGAGGGTGACTCGGCATCAAATGAGTACCTGGTGCTGCGTGCAAACATCGCCACTGTGGAGCCAAAGGCGGCCGGGGCATGGTGCTGGCCACCCACCCCCTTGGTATGCCGCGCCGGCCTTCGTAGGTGTTCGCTAACAGCACTTGCCCCAACAGTCTGCTAAGGCTTATCAAGGGGATGTTTGTCTTGTTTGCGCATTAATTTGCAGGCAACACACAAATGGGAGCCACGATCGTCGATGCCCTGGACACGTTGTACATCATGGAGCTACACGACGAGTTCCAGGAGGCCAAGGAATGGGTGGAGAAGAACCTCAACTTTAATGTGGTATGACCATCCCCACCACCACCACCACCACCCCCTCCCGCCCAACATTTTCTGTCACGATGGTTGATGCCTTTTAGTCACACGAGTACATTGTTCCAAGTGCCGTGGTGATTCTCACCACAGGCTTGTGTCCATATGTGCCTTTGTCTTGCGCATCTTGCGTGTGCGATATAATGGAACGGATTTTATGGCGGGTCGGACCTTAAATGACATGTTGCCCTAGTCAGTTAAACAGATATACAGAGATTTGGTGTATGTGTTTGTAAAGCATGTTTTTAAGGTTAAAGAACAAAGGTGTAATAAAAAGTGAAAGTACAACTCTGCAATTGCCTGCTCATGACACTGCTGGTAGAAGGGCCTCCGTTGGCGGATGCTCCGGAGGGTATTTGGCCTATTCTTCAATGCTGGCCAGGTGTCTTGGAAGCGGTGGGGGGGGGGGGGGGTGGGAGTACCCATTCATCCTGCTGGGCGGATAGAATCAGGGGCGGGGGGGGGGGCATTTAAGAAATCATGTCCAACGTTTCATATGGCAACATCTGGATTGCAAGTGCTATGTGCAGACCATTACACCGTGGCAGCATCACAACGACGAAGGTGTTCTTGGTTTTCGACAGGCAACACCTCCTGTCTATCTGCTTGCACCTGAACTGAGGATTTGTAGCCGTTAACCAGTGCCAGTGTGGGGGCAATTTGCGGTGTTTATCGTAACGCGGTGCTCATTTAATACTCGTGGCACCTCTATCCCCACTGAACCTGTTGTCGGAAGTGTGTATTCGGGGATTGGGCTATGCCACCGTGTGTTTGGAACGGTCAGACGCATGGGTGATTTAGTTTTTTTACGCTGCAAATGAAATGCAATGAAGTCTCGTCTACTGTGGGTGTTTGGAGGATTGAGTACAGGTGAAAGGGTCGCGCGTTCTTGGGTATGCCGTTTAACCCTGTTTGTAAGTGTCGTGCTAAAACTCATTAAAACCAAGTCGCTGCTGATTAATTAATGTGTTGTGCTGCAACACAACTTGATAAATGGGTTTTAAAAGGGAGCTAAAAAAATGATTTACAAAGAAACACGGTGTAAGCTCATTGCTCATATCACCGTAAATCATATTGTTAACAAAGTAAACATTCTCTGTCCATAATATGAACAGATAATCAAAACATGTACACACGTTATATTCGTGAATGCATCAATGCATAAAACAAATTCTGTATTTGATTTGCATTAGCCAAAGTACACACGTGGTACATTTAGAAGCGTAATATTACTTGGTCAGGTTTATCGTTGTTCACAAGGGAGAGAGAAATCTATAACATTTGTAAGAGATGAAAGAAAGTGTTTAATATTTGTATCATGGCAGCATGCGTGTGAGTGTGTGCGCGCTTGTTGTTAGCCAACCAGTCCTGTAAATAATGCATAATTCATATAAAGCAGTGCTTGACACTTTGCAGCATTTGTTCCTGCAAACAAACGTTGGACAAGCCATCAAGTGAAAACTGCAGCATTGCGTATCTTTGAATAGCTTGTAAAACCATACCATATATATATCACTTGTTTATACTTGTTATAAGATGGATTTCATTTTCTTTGGTTCTTTGGGTAAAGTCACGTAGATAGAGAATAATGAAATAAAAAAAATATAATATAATAAAAACCCAAAACTCACGACAGTTTTTTTCCCCGCCTGTGTTGCGATCGAAACGTCCTGAGTTTTTGGTTTTCATTAATTTATTATAATTTTTATTTTATTCCTTTCCATCTATGTTACTTTACCGAAAGAACCAAAGAATAATAATTCCTGCGGTCACGAAAGTTTTAAGTCAAAATTTATTTTATTATTTGTTGTTTTTTTCTCTCTCTCTCTCTCGCCCCTTCTCCCTCTCTTCCTCCAAAACCTCAGAATGCAGAGGTGTCCGTGTTTGAAGTGAACATCAGGTTTGTGGGAGGACTGCTTGCGGCATATTACCTGTCCGGGGAAGAGGTGGGTGGCACACGAGTATGACAATTGCATGCCTGTCAACCGCTGTCTAGCGCTCTGCAATAATTGTGTTGGATAGATCGAATTGGACAAGTGGATTTATGTCTACACCCCCCCCCCCCCCCCCCCAGCGCTTCATATTTTACTAAAATCATATGGGGAAACCTGTTCATGAAAACCGGCTCCGTGCCCTTTTCTCGAACACTTTACCAATGGAAGGTTTAAAGAAGTTAACGGCATAATCATCCGTCTGTCCATCTGTTCTCGCCATCCATCTGCAACGTGGGCTCACGGTAACCTTGTCAGGATGGTGCAATGCAACTCAAATTCATAATTTACTGCTGTGTTGCTTATTGGGGACTTGCCTGAGAGAAAACTGGCCATGCTGATCAGATGGTTGCCCAAAACTATTGAAGGCGCTAACCAGCTACCCGTCAGCTTTCGTACCAATAATAATAAAACATACCCTCGGGGTCAAACATGCGTTGAAAAAACATTACAGATCCGTGGATATGCACACTTATTATCCTTTTCTTATGCACACCGAACAATGAACGACGGAGCTTAATGATGAGTAAACACATCTTTTAATTTCATTAATTGTCTCTATCCACGTTAACCACTTGTGGGCGCCCTTAAAATATAAACACAACATCCGACGTTACAGTTCGCACGCATCCTAACTATACAGACCGTGGGATTTCAGAGGATCGGCCGTTCTTTTAAAAAAACCTGAGGGGTGGGAAAAGAGAGAGGGGGTGTGGTGTGTTTGGGTGTGGGAGTACGAGTGGCTGACAAAGAGCAAAGTAGAGAGCTGTGCCCGTTGGTGGAGGGGCGGGGATCTCATCCCGTTAACGAGGCGCGTGTCCCCGTTGGAGCGAATGTTTGTTGTACGTCGCCGACTCCGTGGGGAGCGCCACGCACCGGCGCGGACGGTCGGCCCGAGACGAGCGCCGTGCCGCTCGGGGCCTTCGCTCCTCCGTCGAGTTGCGTATCCGCAACGCGTGCATGCTGCACGTTTCTCGCAAACCCGCATGTGGGTTGGATATTTTTTTTGCGCCGGTGCACCCCCTCCCCTCCCCCCCCCCCCCCCTGTTTTTTATACAAGTCGGTTTCTCGTAGTTGCGTTGAAAGCGAGCGTCGGGAACGCAAAGGTATTCGGCGTTTTGCATCTCTCCTCGCCTGCAGGTTTAATGTAGGCTAACAGCCTCCGCTCCCCCGCGACGCTTCAACGCGCAAACCCAGGGGTTTGCCCATTTACGTCGCTCTTAGGAACGGACGAATGGCACGTTGTCGTGGAAGGGGGCGGAGCCGCGTTTAAAAATGCCTGGTGTGGCGAACAAGTGCGTGGAGGTCTTTTTTCCCCCCCCCCTCTGAATGAGTCATTGTTTTTGACAACGGCTGCTCGTACATTCTCAATGCTGCGGCATCGCAATAATTGCGTGTTTTTGCAAAAGGTGCCCAAAGGAGCCAATTTTGAGTCGGGCAGACGTAAACCGTCACATTGTTACAGCAATCAAATACTGAGATAGCAATTATCACAATTACACTTGGTATCAGCCCTGTTCTTGCATATGAGACGCTTTGGCGTGGTCCAAGGTTGAATACCTTTGCGTTGTCGTCTGTGCTATTTGCTTCCACGAGCGTCGAAACTAACAGGCCGTGTCATCATGCTCCCCTTGTCGATACCCACAAAACGTTGGGAAGCGGACACTTCCAGGGGCAATGAGGAGGGAGCGTGGCGGTGACTCTTCCCCCACATCGTGCGTCGGCAGTTGCGTCGTCGATCCATCCTCAGTGGCGTTAGCCTCAACCTAGGGGAGGCCCCAGGACTGGTTCAGATAATTGTCACCGGTATTGGCCATGAACGGGAATTGAACTCGGGTGGCTGGGTTTGGTGCGTGGCACGCTAACCGCTATGTTACCGCTCCCTTACCGCTCCCCCTTTCCAACAAAAAACCAAGCACACGTAGCATCATTTAGCTCTTTATTTATATTTTAATGACACCAACGTTTAGCAATTGCGTTTTGAATAATGCCCCGCGCCGATTATTTCTGCGCATCTCTTTGCGACGCCGAGTGAAAGCGTGGGCGATATCAATATTGTCCCTCTTGGTTATTTTTGTGGGGACCTCGCACGCATCTCGTTTTTCTTTTCCTATGCCCCATTTTATTTGATGGTGCCGGCTTGGGATTATTTCCCCCCCCCCCCCTGGGCCGTCCATTAATCATTTACGGAACCGGCTGCACATTTTGTGTACACGTGCGCTCTTAATGAGATGCCCGCCCGCGCAAGGCGAGAGCCGGTGTGCGCTCCCCCCTCCTCTTTGCCTGCCTGTCATCTCGCGTGAACAGCGTGGGTGTAAGTGTCCATTCAAATCCCTCCGGCTCTTCTCCAGCCCGTCTCGATTCCTTTTCTAAATTTGCGCCCGTGATTTACCTTCAGTGGGCGTCCGCTGTGGGTTATACGGCGGCGGCGGGCGGCTGAGTCTCTTGTTTGCACGCGTGCACGTATTTGCGAATGGGGTTTGTTTTGTTAAACGCCTCGGCCATGTCCCCGCCACCTGCCGATGCGTATATATATCAGTTGACCGCCGTTTTTTTTTTCTATAGATGCGGACGAAGAGATTTTTCTGAAATGTGTTTTGTTGACGAAGTTTTTCATTCATTTAGTTCATCAGCAGTTTTGGTCCATCCACTGCTGGATGACGAAGGCCTCCCGAAGCCATCCTCCTGGATGCGTTCCACTGCATGGCTCTGCCACTTTCGTTATTATTCTTGACCATCGGCAGTTCGGGTGCTCACCCTAATCCCCACAACGTGACCACATTTCTCCGTTTCTCTTACCATTAAACTGGCTTCCAGTCTTGAAGCGAGGAGAGGAGTTTAATTCTACGAGTTTTTAAAGTCTTGCATGGGCTGACACCACCATAAATGCACGAGTTAATTAATCCGTACACCCCCCTCAAGGTCGTTAAGATCTACAAACGCCGCCCTTCTGTGCGCACCTCGATCTCGGCTGCGTTCCTGGGGCGAGCAGGCACTTGCTGTGTCTGCGACACCGGTTGTAGAATTCTCTACCATTGGCAATTCGTTTATTCGATAATTTGAATACTTTTAAGTCTCGTCTTGAAACCACATCTTCTTACGTCAGTTAATTCTCTTGAGCTTCTGTGTCTCCTGGCCTTTCCTTATTCTTACAAGGCGCCTTGAGACATTAGTGGAAGGCGCCTTGCAGATAAATGTACATTTAAATTTTTATTGAAGTATACTGCCCAAACTTTGTTGTTTTTCTGCACAGTGTGGATGGTATATAATATTTAACACGTTCCTTTTTCTGCCCCACAATGTAATGCCACAAGCGTGCTCTTCTCCACGCTCAGTGATTGTAATTTAAGTACGGGACTGCTTGTGACAATTTAATTGTGAAGGCAATCGCGCTATTTGGCACTGCGCTTTAGGATACATGGCATGTCGGTCGTGTGGCTTGATAGAAAAATTCCGACGTGTCAAATCGTTTTTCCACCCATTTTACCGCGTTACATTTTAGAATCGATACGTTATTACATTTCAGTGTTCACACTCGTGACACGACAGAAACTCCTCATCGTGCCACATTTGTGCACGTGCGACAATTAAAATTTCTCCGGCACCTGCTGATATGGCCATATGCTGTGAATGTAGTACAATACATCGAATATAATTCATAAGCTTAACTCATGGCCAGATGGCCAATGACAAGTCATCCAAAGAAAATCTATTGTTGTGGTTAACGTGCTTACATATGGCTCAGTTTTTATTTTCAACTTGCAGTATGTACCTGTGCTTTGGAAGCCGTGGATTGACTGATTCATATGCTATTGCAAGAATTGAAAGAGCAATTGGGCCGGTCTAATGGATATATTCGGCCTCCCCTTCAGGGAATTGACAGCTCGATAGAATTTGAATAAACATTCCAAGCCCGACGTCTTAAAAAGCATATTTCCCCTTCTTCACTTTCCCTGCAATTTGAATCATAACTGGGCGGTGGATGTGTATTGTTTAATAACAGACAGGCGGCTCATTTATATGTGTTCCTCGTCCGGAAGGGTTTCACAAAGTGCTTTTAAGTCACCACGGATTAGAGTTCACGTCATTATTTTGTCTTTTCATTATGTTGCAAAAAACTCTTTCCAGGCAGCCTTTACCTCCACCCCCTCCTTTAATTGCATTATTTTGTTGTCTGCATAATAGTTAAGTTAGCACATGGCTGTTCTGAGAGGTGGTTTTGTCTTCGCATGTTCTCGCCTGCTTGGAGCCATGCAGACAACGCTGCCGCGCGCTTTCACGTGCGTCGGATCGCGCGCGGACGTTCTGAGTGCACTCGACCTCAGAACGTTCTGACGAATCGCCCTAAACAATTCCAACTTGACAAGGTCACTGCACATTGCCTTCTTTAACATACTTCCGCGGCTCTTCCGCGAAGAGGCGCAGGTGTTAGCAATCCACCGTTTTTTTTCTTCGTCTTATAAATGGGAGCCGGAGCAATGAGATGAGTGCATGCGTAGGCGTGAGATGGATGGTAGGAGCACTGCAAAGTGAGGGATGGTGGGCTGATGATCATGTAAAATTATATATACCGTCTACTTGCACTTGACACGTGGATTGCACCAGTTCCTTACTGCCAAATCATATTGTGACGGTATCGTCAGTTTTTTTGTGGCGGTCTGTTTGCAAGCGGACGCTTGGGACATTTGTGAATGGCCGTGGTAATGAATGACATTCGAGCGAGAGGGTAATGTTCTCGGCGTGCGTCTCGTGAATCTTGTCCGAGAGCCGGACGCGTTAATTCGGAGGGCGCTTTTCCTCGAGTCATTTTGTATCATTTGAAACCACTTTTACATTTTTTTCCCCAATATACAAAAATTGTCCCCCTATATCAGCATTAAATATCCCTCTGCTGATCTGCAATGCTGCTATCAGTAACCCCACCCGTGCTCCGCACCCCCTACCTGCTGTTCTGT